CCCCCCCCCCCCCTAAAATTTCATAGCCATTTCTTTTTAACTGCTTTTTGAAGGTCCAAATTAAAATATTGTTTAATGTTTCTTTCACACACATCATATTTATGGGCTAAACATCATACAGTATTTGTTTTTCAGTGATAAAGTAAAAATGAAATACGTTTTTTAACCGATCAGAGAACATAAAACGTAGATAAGAGCTGCTTTTGCCTTGCCTTCATGCTCAAATCTCGAAGCAAAGGCTGTTGTGTAGCGGTCTCAATGTGTGTATAATACACTAAACTTTTGTCTAGTCTTTCCTTTATTGCTTGCGGTCAGAGGTATTTGAATGTTTGTAAATAAACTAATAATAAACTAAAATGTTCTTGTCGAGCGAGTCGTCTTGATTAATTGTGGTCAGAGGCAGGTATTTAAACGTTTGTATGATACACTAAACATTTCGTGTCGAGAGAGTTGTTCCAGTTTAGTTTTTTCTTGATTGCTTGTCGTCGGATACTACTACTGTACTACATTTAAAACATATTTTAAGGGGAATTCTTTTGTCGTCTGAGGTTCTCCTTAACATTGTCAAATTTTACCTTTTTATTATGAAACTGTTTTCACCCTCTTCATTGTCTTATGTTCCCAATGGCAACCCTTTCACCAGGATTTTTAAAGAATGGTGAAATTTCAGAAAATGTCCTCAAAATTTTAAGGGTGGTGCACAAAATTCTAAAGGGTGGATACAAACAATTGCTATTTTAGTACATAGCAAGTGACACGCTAAGTCTGTTTATTGACCTTGCATTTGCATTATTATTTTTTTGAAGCGTGGTTCAAATATTTGAAGCATGGGTATAATTTGCCTTTTTGATATTTTTATTTAAATTATGTTGTTTCTGTGAGTATCCTACGTGAAAAAATATTTTTATCTGCCATTAAAGATCCTAGTTAATCGTTTTTCATATTATTAATTTATTTACATACATTCTTGTTATAATAATGATTTACTATAAATACTGTTTAACATTTACGGAAATAAATGTTGTTTAATGAATGAATAATTATTCATATCCATTTGCACTTGACAACAACAACTAGGCATCAGTTATTATTTTTAATGGTGTCTACTACATATTTCTTCTTCAATTATATACAGATACTAAATAAAGGCACCATTGTACAAGTATATTTATTCAGTTTGTTTTCAACGTAGTACTATCAGATTGTTTTGAAAGCTTAATGCAGTCACTATAACAATTATATTCGAATTTCACAAATTTCGACTTCTAGAGGAATTCAAAATCCACCCACTCCTGTTGTGTTGGAACCCATTATTATTTCTTTATACAAGTATATATATATATATATATATATACATACATACATACATACATACATACATACATACACACATACATACATACATACACACACACACCCACACACACACACACACACATACATACATACATATAATAGCTAAAGTGTTCAGCTACCCCTCTGAACCCCTTCTTATCGGACGGAGACACCTCCTCCCAAACCTAGCCTCCGCAGCAGGCACTTGGAGGCACTTTAAACATATACCTATAGCCCCCCCACCCCAACCAAAACTTATGGATCCGCCCCTGTTTTGATAAAGAAAGTGTTTCTTTTTAGGAAGAGTTGCCTAGGTTAAAACTCACTCGGACTATATGAAATTAATTATAAGCTTGAACTGTTAATCTTAATGTAAGGAGTACTACAGTAACTTCACGTTTAATTTTAATTACAAGTTGAATTATACAAAATTCAAATTAAATGTCGTAAGTATATTTGCCTATTTGCCTAATTTGCTTTAGAAAAATCTAAAAACTTTTTTATTACAGGAATGTTAAACTTGCCTTATTTGCTCACTTGGTAGGTCATTTCTAGGTGGTGGGGAATAAGGGGATGTCTGGTGGGTACACCCCACCACTATAAATGTTCGGCAGTGGCCACTGGTACTATGCTAAACATTTTCCAATATGTTTCATCGGGTAACTCCGCCACAAATGTTTGACTGTCATTGTGGTCACTCATGTTACATACAACATATCATGTCATGTAACATTCCACAGGTTAACTCACTAGATAATCTTGATCATTTTTTTTTTTGGGGAGGTGGGGTAGTAGATACACCACCTGTCTCTTATACACATCTATATGTATTATACTTTCCTAAATAATTAAGTATATTATATAAGTACACTATATGTATCACAAACATTCCGATAACTATGTTATTTTGAATGACCTGTAGTTTAGTAATATCAGCATTCCTTTGTTTTTTTTTTTGTTTTTTTTTTTTTTTGGGGGGGGGGGGGGGGGGCAGGGTATAAGGGGGTGTCTGGCGGGTACACCCCACCACTAAAAATATCTGGCAGTGGCCACTCATGATACCTGGTACTATGCCGAACATTATCCAGTAGGTTTTATCGGGTTAACTCACAAGCTGATCTAGGTCAATTTTTGGGGGCGGGCTATAAGGGGGTGTCTGGCAGGTACACCCCACCATTAAAAATGTCTTGCAGTGGCCATTTCTGATACCTGGTACCTGGTACCTGGTATGCCGAATATTTTCTAGTAGGTTTTATCGGGTTAACTCACATGCTGATCTAGGTCGATTTTTTGGGCGGGGTATTTGGGGGTGTCTGGCAGGTATACCCCACCACAAAAATGTTTGGCGGTGACCATTCCTGATACCTGGTACTATGCCCAACATTTTCCAGTAGGTTTCATCGGGTTAACTCACAAGCTGATCTAGCTTAATTTTTGGGGTACCGGTTTTTAGCGTCTGGCACCCACCCCCCACCATTGGAAATGTTGGGCATTGACCATTCATGTTATCTTGAACTATGCCGAATATATTCTGATAGGTTTCATTGGGTTAATTCACAAGTTGATCTAGCTCAATTTTTGGGGCCCTTTCTATGCCCCTCCTGACCACACCCACCACAATGGGACCGGCAGATGCCCATTCTCCTACATAGACACATAGAACATACTATATACACAAAAATTAGTTAACTTTCCAGCTATGCTGACACCCCTGGGCTCCTGGTCTATAAATAGTACTGTCAGTGGCGTAACAGGTGGGGGTAGGGCAGGGGGAAGAATGCCCCCCTGACGGTTTTTACCGGGCTGAGCTAGCCGTCGTACCGGGTTGGGTAATAAGAGAAAAGAAAGTGGAGAGAGGGAGGGAAAGAGAAAGAAGAGGAAGAGAAAAGGAAAGGAAAAAGGAAAAGAAAAAGAGGAGAGAAAAATAAAGATAAGAATAAAAAGGAAAATATCATAATGATCAGACTCACAACACCCTGCAACCTCTTCTCCACTTACCTCCTTTGATCTAAGCTGCTAGATGGCGTAGGCTAACCACCGGGAAACAAGGGGAAATATCTATCTTTGGAAAATCTTTCCCACCTCTTTATAAATGCCCTTTTCATCCCCTGAAAGTGCCTAAAAATCTCAAATTTCGCGCGCTTCGCGCTCACTTCTTGTCAGAGCAGGCCAATTTCCTCTAAAAATTGCACATTTTAGAGATTTGGGATCAATTCCGACGAAATTAGAATTAAAAACACCGGGGGACAAGGGGAAAATATCCATCTTTGGAAAATCTCTCCCCACCCCTTGATAAATGCCCTTTTAATCCTCTGAAAGAGCCTAAATTCCTCAAATTGCGCGCGCTTCGCGCACATTTCTTGTCGGAGTAGGCCAATTTCCTCTAAACATTGCACATTTTAGAGATTTGGGATCAATTCCGACGAAATTAGAATTAAAAACACCAGGGGACAAGGAGAAAATATCCATCTTTGGAAAATCTTTCCCCACCCCTTGATAAATGCCCTTTTCATCCTCTGAAAGTGCCTAAAATCCTCAAATTGCGCGCGCTTCGCGCACATTTCTTGTCGGAGTAGGCCAATTTTCTTTAAACATTGCACATTTTAGAGATTTGAGATCAATTCCGACGAAATTAGAATTAAAAACACCAGGGGACAAGGAGAAAATATTCATCTTTGGAAAATCTTTCCCACCCCTTGATAAATGCCCTTTTCATCTTCTGAAAGTGCCTAAAATCCTCACATTTCGCGCGCTTCGCTCGTCAGAGTGGGCCTATTTCCTCTAAAAATTGCACATTTATCATAAAAAATATTAATATTAAAACAAGTATCAAGTAGTCTATTAAATTCGTTCGGTAAACGGTGAAAAATACCCCGTTTTGTGCAATCAACACAACCGTAAGGAACATGAAGTAAACACTTACTGCGGGTACGAGTCGGGATGTTTAAACTGAACATAGAAACAAGAGGACAATCATAAATGGAATTTAAAGACTTATATAAAAATACCATGTCAAAAAATAATTATACGATTTTCAAGAGACATAAGAGAGAAAAATTTAAACTAATCGAAGTTTCACCATTTTCAATAATCTTTCTTTTAGGTTTTTATATAGCGCTCTGTACAACGAAAATCTCAGAGCGCTTTCCCACATTATTAACCCAGTAATTGGAACGATTCCTATGCGGGAAAAACTTACTGTACCAAAACTACTTGTATTTCAGGTGGAGAAACCTCTTCTCAACAGACTACTAAGACCTCGGAAATTGTAGTTGAAGGTATGTCAGATAATTTAAAGCATGAGAAAGATAGTATGCCTAATGATAGCCATTTCGAGCCAAACCCAAAAAATGATGATGATGATGAAAGCACCAACCAATCTGGTAAAGGCGACACTCAAATCTCTTCTACATTGGATGGAAATCGTGAGTTTAAACAAGACACTGACAACGTGAATAACAAAAGTAACGAAGGCCGAGAAACTAATACGGACTGTTTGAAACTGGACAATACTTCCACTGGAAAAGCAGGGAATCAAAATAGAATTGACGAAGACCAAGAAATTAGTTTGAGATCAGACAATAATGGCAAAGAACAAGCAGGTAGTTCAACAGAGGTACAGAATAGCGACGACCATCCCAACAATGAAGATGATAACTATGCCTCTAACCCAGGAAATGAAAATCGTGAGTATTCGTATATTAAAGGTAAAGGTAGGTGATTAACCTATGTCTTGCAGCATCATTGTGTTGAATTGCGTAGCTTTATGTTCATATCATAACCGTCAGACGCATTTTGCAATTGATTCGGCCGTTAGAGTATGCTGACAACCTGTAGAGCCACTACCACTTCTCATCAAATACAGCCACAAGATTTAAGTTTGCATGGAATTAGAGTCTATATGGCACCACTGAATGCCCGGAATTATCAGCTGGCAAACCAGCATAAGCCTCTACCTCTCCCCATCCTGCATTTCCTGTACATTGGCAGACACGAAATTTAAAGTTAGTGTGAAATAGAGTTCATACCCTGCTCAGCCCCACCATACAGATGTGTGTCTATTGCGAAAATGATAAATTGTTCAAAATTTTATTTCTATCCTTGTTATAACTAGATGAATTGATTTTTTTTCTCTATGAATAAATAAAGTGCAAGGAACACGGAATTTTATTATTTTTAATTATTGTATTATATGAATATGGTAAAACTTTTTGCAGGCTATTTGCTTTTCGTTGTATCTCCATTCGTATCTCAGTTATTTATTATCATGATGTGTTTATATTGTATTTTATTGAATTTTTTGGAAATAAATAAATTGTATTGTATCGAATACATTATGATAGTACAATTCCTGGTTTTGGTTTGGCTGAACACATATGATAATATTTACATAACGTACAGGGTACTGTGAAATATAAACAATATGCAATTAAATAAAACATGTATTATGTATTCACAGGATGCAATATGATATACGGTACATTATGAAGTAGGCCTACAAATTATGAATTCCGTAGAGTTTTGAATAACATATCATGCTGGTACAATTTTAATTAAACTTACCGGTAATTGCCAAATTCGGTCTGAAGTATTAATAAATTATTTATCACGTCCTTAGATGAGTACTATCACTTGCAAATCTGGACACCCCACCCCTCGTCAGACGCCGACGAAAATGTCGTCTGAATAAAGATATTACTTAAATTGTGGATTTTTGTTTTAAATATATAACATTGAAAAGACATGTGGTGCGAATTTTTATCATAAATACATATAACTTATTATATTAGTATACATAGCATTTATTCAAAAAGTAATAGAATTTTTGAAAAGTGGTCCTCCCAAAGCCGGTGCAGCCGATGCGGTTCTGTCGGCCATGTGTATCATCCCACAACGAACGGGGCTAAAATGAATCAGAGCATCGGGGTATTACCCATTACCCTTTTGAAAGACGCAATGGGTTCTTTAAAGTGCACATGAGCCTGATGTCTCCACTGCCACTTGACTCGACTAACTATCAAAAATTGAACTAAGAAAAATTAATGTAGAAAAGCTTGTCATGTACAAAATAGTTCAGTAAAGCATTGAAACCTTGAGATAGATGATTGATGTCCTTTAAATAGTACTATTTATATTTAGTATGATATGTTTCAACCGTGTAAACATATTAATTGCCAAATACAGCAACAGAAGAATAATATTAACTCTTAGACGTCACATGTCATTTTTAATTTGTTTTATAGATTTTAAAATGCAAGCCTAAAGTAATAATATTTACAAAGTTTTTATTTTGGCGGTTTAAAATCGAAAGTGCCTAGCCTTAATGTTAGGGTTAGTACAGCCTCACTAATCATCACTAAAATGCTTTGCGAACGAGTAGTACCGGCTAAAGAAACACTATTGTGGCAATGCTGAAATTATAAACTGATCTCCACATTTTTAATAATCTTGGTTGATGCTGTACCGAAACTGCTTGTATTTCAGGTGGCGAAACCTCTTCTCAACAGACTACTAAGAAGACCTCGGAAATTGTAGTTGAAGATATGTCAGAAAATTTAAAGAAGGAGGAAGGTATTATGCCTAATTATAAACATTTCGAGTCAAACCCAAAACGCGACGAAGATAGCAACAACCAATCTGATGCATATCGCGAGTTTAAACAAGGCTAGAAATAGGCTAGAAAAATCAGATATATAGTGATGTTGATATAGCGCCGGTAGCAGCTAACTCAATATAATTTGACATTCATTAACTGATACAGACTTTATCACTTTTTTTTCAAAATATGAATCTTAATATTTGTAGATTATTTATTCACATACTGATAATTCAGAGCAAGTTTGTTACATATCTTCAAAATGTTTAGGTGATTTTCAAACCGACAAAAGAGTAAGTGAGCGACACCAAGGCACTGAGATTCAAGAGCCGGTGAGAGTAAAGGAGAAATACTATGAATTGATTCCTTCCGCAGTAAGTTACCTTAAAGAAATTGTTTTGTAAATAGCTCTGATATTTTAAAATTATACTTGCTTAACTTAAATGAATGTGCGCTAACATGAACTACGTTCAATTCGTATTTTCGCTACCACAGGGCTTTCGAAGCCAAATATATAACAGAGACTGTGAAAGATTCAGAAACGGTTATCCTGTAAGTGCCGTAATTTATTTATTATAGACATACTCTCATTAAATTTTCATTTCCAGTATACTACAGTACTAATATCCTATACTTATTCAATATAATGATTATAATATTGA